AATAACCGAGATTAAATTGCCCTTGCGTAAGTCCATTTTGTGCTGATTTCAAATACCACTCAAACGCATTTTTGTCACCTTTTTGTATACCTATTCCAGTTAGATAGCAATAACCAACTCTATTTTGTCCTTCCGCATTTCCATTTTGTGCTGATTTCAAATGCCACTCAAACGCATTTTTGTCATCTTTTTGTATACCTATTCCATTTTGATAGCAGTAGCCAACTTTATTTTGTCCTTTTGCGTATCCAATTTCTGCTGATTTTAAATACCACTCAAATGCTTTTTCTTCGTCTTTTTGTGTTCCAATACCGTCTTCGAAGCAATAACCGAGATTAAATTGCCCTTGCGTAAGTCCATTTTGTGCTGATTTCAAATACCACTCAAACGCATTTTTGTCATCTTTTTGTATACCTATTCCATTTCGATAGCGATAACCAACTTCATTTTGTCCTTCTGCAAATCCATTTTCTGCTGATTTTAAATACCAATGAAATGCTTTTTCTTCGTCTTTTTGTGTTCCAATACCGTCTTCAAAGCAATAACCGAGATAAAATTGTCCTTCCTCATTTCCATTTTCTGCTGATTTCAAATACCACTCAAATGTTTTTTTTCTACCTATTCCATTTCGATAGCAATAACCAACATGATTTATCCTCAGAGCATCACCATTTTCTGACTTCAAATACCACTCAGAAGCTTTTTCTTCTTTTTGTGTTAAAATTCCTTTTTCGAAGCAATAACTGAGGTCAGGTTGTTCATTTTCTGCTGATTTCAAATACCATTCAAATGTCTTTTCTTCATCTTTTTGTGTTCTAATAGCATTTTGATAGCAAAATCCAAGTAAATATTGTGCTGATGCATTATTTTGTATTGCATATTTTTCATCATGTTCAAAAGCAATTTGATAATTCTGTTCGAGTTTAATACCGTAATAATAAAAAAAGCCTAAAAGTAATGTGAATTGACTGTTAACTTCAAAGAATTTTATAAATAGTTCATTACTACTAGAAATTTTTTTTGTATATTTTTGGCTATATCATCTAATTTTTTGCCAGAGTTGAGTAAGTTCCAAAAGTTTATCGTTAATTTTTTGAGACAAAATTTAATCATATTATGCAATGTTGCATTTTCTATATCAGGTTTCATAATAAATTCTAAAGAAGTTTTATGTAAAGATACATTGTTCTTTTCGTTGCTAATTATTATGATATGATTGATCGATTCTCTAGTGTACTTATAGTAAATTTTAAGTTTTTCATAGTCAAACTTCTTAATGTATAAACTTGTCCGAGAATAATCTGAATCTTGTTTGTTAGAAGCGGAACAATGCTGATTAGAGCTATTTAATTTTTCGTCTGAGTCTTCATCTCTTTTTGATTTTTTGGAGATACGTTGACAATTAGAATAAATAGTTTGTAACGAAGGCTCTTTATTATCATCAGTAATTGTATGATTAATGTTGTTGTCTATTGGATTTTCCATTGCGGAAGTTGTTGAGATAGATTTTGTATTGAGAGTTTTTTCGAAGGAGGATATATCCATTTTTTGTATTTCTAAATGTTAAAGTGAAAATAACATCCGACGAAAAAACGCGTTTTTATACCAGAATCAATAAATTGTATCACTCGGTGTTGGTATTAAGTAATCGACAAAACCTGCTCTTTATGACTACGTATTCTAATTTACAAAGAATTCGAAAAAAGCAATAATTCGGCGTTTTATTTAAATGCATGCAAAATACATCTACATACATTTCTCTGTAGATATACGATACGTATATGTACGTACATATGTACAGTATGTACGTGTTGTAGATCAGAATTTTCGAATGAACATTAAGATAGAAAAAACGCCCTATGTTTATAGAAAATGCATTGATTCTAGCACATTGTGTTAAATGTTTTCTTTATTGAGAAATTTCTCTGTTGTTATCTCTCATGTCCTTTCACATGTAATTTTTTAAATTACTTAAATGAATTATGCTTTATAGATAATCTTTTTTATATGGAATGTAGTGATTGGATTTTTGAAAACAATACGTAGATCTCATCGAGTGTACTTTTTGTTTTTCTAATTGTATAAAGTGTAATCTGTAAATGATTTAGTTTTAAAACTTTAGATCTTTCACTTTATGCTAAAGCGCGCTGTAATTAATGAAACATTAATATTATTTAAAGCATAAGCGAATCGAATAGCTCAATATACACATCCCTACAGTATATTACCGGAAATTTCAAAAATGAATTTGTCACTTTGGAACCCGATATCTCGACATCCAGTGATCCCATTCGAACAAAAATATTATCATTAGATTCGCCTCGACTATACGAATCTAAAGGTGATATTTTGTTCGAATGGGATCACTGGATGTCGAGATATCGTGTACCAAAGTGCCACATTCATTTTTGAAATTTCCGGTAATATATTGTAGGGGTGTGTATTATCTCAATATATAGTCAAACCTTAGTATAACGAATTAGTTAGCACATATAAGAAGATTATATTTAAAATAAAATCAATAGTCGCGTTTTATGTTATTATATGTGAAACAAATTTAAAAATGTGAATTAATTATAATACGTTATAACGAGATTCGTTATAAGGTCCCGACTGTGATTCCTAATTATGAATCAATACTAAACAGGTTTACACATTTATCGAGTATTTGAAATATACTTTGATCTCATTAGATAATGTGAGTTATTAATTTTGATCTATTTATTGAATATTCTCATAATAATTGAAAGTTTCTTTTATCAAACTCTAGTATATGATTACATTTATTATTATGCTAAGGTGAGCAGTAATTGGAAGTTTAACTAATTGCGTTTACCTTTTATTTTTCCCAAAGGTAATGGTGATAGAATTTTCACAATTTGGATTTCTGTTTATCATGATACTGATACTGATACTAATACTGTTTGTTAATTCATGATCCGCGAGTAAAGGAAAGAGTTAAATATATAAATTCAGAGACATATTTCATATGATGATTACTAATAACTTATAATCTGGAGACAAAAATTTCTTAAAAAATTCAGCCAAGTCTTTATTTTCAGCTCTCATCTGTAATCAGCAAACTTGAATAAATTTATATTCTTTAACCATTATTCAAAATTGGCACCAGATATGGTCATTATTTATAACGATATAGTTAATTATATTTCTTATTCGCGGATTACGAATTGAATTAATTACGAATAAAATACTTATTTAAGTATTTTGGTGAATATTGTGGTTTTTATATGTAGAGCACAATTGATTTTATTGTTTTTTTTAAATAAATTTTATATAAATGTCTTGTATTTTATGCGATAAAATAGTATTATTCCATTAACCTTCGGAAAAGTGATTTAAATTACTCTGCTAAAACGAAATAGTGTGGCTGAAAATTGTATGGTTCATGATGCTTAATTTAAAAATAGATTACATATTTGAAGGTTCTATGACTACTTAATTAGGAAGTATTCGAAATTCTAATCCGTAATTATGATTAAGAAAACTAATATGTTATATAAAAATATAATTTATTTCTTATAGATGGCATGTACCGTTATTTCGAGTATGTTTTAGCTGATTCTGTTGCCTACGTTTCATGATATTCTTACTACGTTACCTTATTTTTATTTGTCTTAAAATATAAACAAAATACAGTCAAAGTCCTTTACAACGGCGCTGTATACATCGGATTCGTCTTATACCGTATTGATATCCCGATTTACGATTTTTATCTATTTAAAACTCACTATGTACCGAAGTTTATAATACAAGCACTCTATACCGGCCCAAAAGTGCCAATCCAATGCGGCTGTTGTAAAGGGCTTTGACTATAGTAATTCAAATTGTAGGAGTAGAATCATTTATCAATGATCAAATAATTTTTAATTTCTGTTGCCATTAGGTTGTTAAATGGAGCAGCATACTCCGGGTTACTATGTAATTTCTAAATTTCACTCCGCTCTGGAGCCATAATTATATAAACCAAACCACGCCATGTTGGAGCATGGAATGATGATCTATTTTAAAAAGTCAATAAAATAGTTTTGTGATTAAAAGTCCAGCAAAAAATGAATTTGTTTTTTTGTCAAGTCAAATGAATTAAAGCTCTGTTCGAGTCGGATCGGATTCGGATCGGGTTTGATCCGAAAATCGTAATTTAGTTTTTCGTTAATAACTTTTATTTTTACTAAGACACTTGTATTTTGTGTCTAAGTAGAGTTGTTCGGAATGTAATTGTGTATATGCCCACAAATTATTGTTTAATTCCGATTAATATTGAACAAAAGATAACGAGTTTTAGGCTGACCCGAATTATTTCGGGTCGGGTTTGACCCCAATCCGACCCGACCCGAAATGTGCGTTCGGGTCTGGTCTGGATTGGACCCGACCCGGTTGGAGCACTAAAATGAATTAATGATTCTGGTGATTTAGAATATTCCTGACACGAAATAACTGATTCTCCAAGGTATGAAAACAGATTCGAAAATACCATGCTTTTCTAGTAAATGACCAGATATATTCGAAGTTGAACCTACCTTTTCGGCTATAAAGATAAGATTTTTTATTGGTACCTGCGAGGCTTTGTTCACATAATATACAGTAGGCTATATCATTATTATCAAGATCTTTGCGAAAATAGTCGGTATGGCTTTTTTAGCCTATCACTAATGATAACGTTTCCCGTATTGTTTTACGTTTTTTGCGATTATTAAATGAAGAGGTGGTATTCGAGGATTCAGTCACTGGATTTGAAGAATTTGGTTATTAAGATCAAGTTCTAAAGATGGAGCAGAAGAAGACGAACGAGAAAGTGCCATTGTACATTGTTACAAAGTCATATTCCTCACATTGTATTTTATTATTAAGTATAAAACAAGTAACTTTATCTGTCATATAATCGAAGTTGATTGTATTTTATTATTAACGTTAAGTAACGTAACTTATTTGTCGTATATATAATCGAAGTTGATCTTATAATCCCCGATTTGGATCCGTTTTCATTATACAGTGGCTCACACATGTAATTGAACACGAAAATTAACTTCCTAGCATTTTTATTTCCATGACTATTAGTTTGGACAAATAAAAAAAGTGTTCATTTGAAACTCTGAAACCTCTAATATTTTTTAAAAATAATTTGACAACAGATTATTTTGTGAAATAGAGTGGTTTAAATCAAAATTT